TGAAAAATCTGTGCATATCAAAATGATTCACATTGAACAAACTCAAGAACACTTCTACCGATTTTCGTTGTTAGAGACCAAAATGAGTAGTTATTCCAATCTCAATGACCATTTTGTATAAAAAATCTTTAATTTATTTTTTCTCCCCCCAAAATCTACAAGTTTTGAAATCGAGATTTTACGTGATATAGGATGACTCTAAAACCAATATTGTTGCTAGGGGCTAGTCGCTCAAGTAATTAAGAGCATTTACTCTAAACTCAGGTTTTACGTTTGAATTTTCTCACATTATTGTTTGTATCAAAGAAACTGATAGTGTTAAATTTTGTAAGGATATAGTATAGTGAAGCCATATACAATTCTAGCATACAATTTACGATTTCTAACTCACGATCTAAACCAAGTGTTTACAATTTTTGTATCTTATCTCTACATCACTTCAATTAGGTCTCGTGGACACTTATCGACCTTTCTCAAAACACAAATGTTAACTGATCGGTGGTTGTACTCGCGAATAAAATAATACATTTTTCTTTCATTAATGGAAACAAAAACTTTGATCTAAACTAATTGACGATTAATTAAGTGATTAATTAATTAATTAATTAATTTGATGGCAGTGACGAGACCTGGAGACGCCCAACCGTTTTGAAATTTTAGAGACATGGAATGCCAGCAAGGCAATGTGCTGTTTGCTTCCGTGTAACCCAACAGCTACTTCTTTACTTCCTCACTCCGTCTGCCAGCTCACCATCCCGTTCCATTATTACTTTTCTTTTGGATTAATTTACACAAATGCCTCTACATTATTATTATTAAACAAAACAACAACAAAATTTTATCTCATCAAATGAGGTCGTCTGTACGAACTGTAGAACATTATTGTGCTCAATTTTGCGGCAAATTTTATGTGACTCTATGCCTTAACTGATTTGTAATTCAAATTGGTGAAGATTGATACATTCACATAAAAACATCGGGCTTAGGGAAATATTTGCTTATGTTTGGGTGGTAGACACACCTAATAGTAGGAGAGTAACTTGTATAGCACATGTACACTGTACACAGCAACAATGATGTCTCATAGATACAAGGTCACATGGAAAGAAAACTAGTACATGTTTTTATGTTACATTTACACATGTGCTCATAATAGAAAAGGTAATGTTCGTACAATTTTTCCTGTAAAATAATTTTACACACATTTTAATCTTCTCACATACCTCTTCTTTATGTCTGGCCATTGGATTAAATAAATCAAATAAACTAACCGCCAAAATTAAATATAAGCGTGTAAAAGTGTCTATGATTTATCTTCTCTTTTTTTTTTTTTTTCAATTATTTCAACCTGCCTTCCTTTCATTTTTATTCCAAATGCACAAATCACGTCAGGGCTGACGCCGAAACGGCGATGCGATCACGTTTCCATTCACGTCAACAAAATAACGCCGTTCATTCAAGAAACAAAAACTGTTAAAGCCTCTCATTTTCTTCCCAGATTTCACATCAATTATAGGCCCATTTCTGGCCCAACCTCCTCTCTCTATCTCTCTCTCTCTCTCTCTCTCGCTCTGCTTTCCGAGTCATTTCATTTTCCCGGAAAATCAAAAAGTTCTTTCCTTTGTGATCGAATTCATGTCGGTACGTAATCGTTTTCGTCTCTTTCTTCAATCCGAATATAAATTCTTAATCTTTGTATGCCTTTATTTGTTTTTGTTTATCTTTAATCTTTGCGATGCTTAATTTGCTGGATTTCTGATTGGATTAAGCTCTAATTCATAGATTTGTTCCTTAATCTGTATTAATATGATTGTAATATCTTAGACGCATCTGTTTTACATTAATTTCTGAGCAAAATTCATGTTTTTTATTTAAATTTTTATGTTTTATCATTATGTTAAAGTAAATACGTACTTGATGCAAAATTTGAATTTTCCAAGGGAGCAGATTCTAATTCTTCAGTTTGGTTTTTAGTTTTGTTTAATTAGGAATATAGTGAAAATTAAATGAACAGAAAAGGGTAGTGAGAAAATGACAAGTTTCCTTTGTGTTTTTACAAAATTAATAAGTTGAAATTTTGGAGAGTATATTGCTTTTCGGAGCAGGTATTGTTTCGAGAGTGTGAATCCCATGTCGTGGAATTAAAGCGACGATTAAATAGTTTGAGTGATCTCAGGCATCTCCACCACCGTTGCCAATTGGTTTTGGGTTGGTGCTCGAATTGTTATAGACTTATAGGTATTGTTGGTTTTTTTTATTGTCATTCATTGTTTGAGTGGGGAATATAATCTTTGTACAAATTGCTTCCTGATGATGGTATTGTCTGGTTTCTGTATTTTACTTTTAATGATTAGTATATTAAGGGCATTGTGTACTTCCTAAGTTCTCATGTCATGGTCATGTGTATATGTGGTTCTGTATGTATGTGTGTGTTCTTCATTCCGACTTTGAATGTGTAAACTATCTGGACAAAGAGGTTTAGTTGTAATTGCCTTGCCCAAACCAAGTATTTTATTAAGGGCTAAATAGATTTCTTTTAACTGGGTTCTTATGTCCACGGGGAAGGTTAGAGTTCTTTTTCCTTTTTCGCGTTTCCGTGTATCTTTGGAGTTTTTATTAGTATGATTATGGTGGGTTGAACTTCTGTGCTAGGTGCTTCCTGAAAATGACTGAGTTATGTTGTCTAAAGTTGTGTGTCCAAATTTAACAATCAGTTGCCTTTTCTGAGTTTTTCCTTCCTGTCTGATTTTTATTTTCCACCTTTTTTCATAGGATGTTAGCTCCATGGTATGCTGGTTGCTTCTTATTTGTATATTCTCGTGTTTTTCCTTTACAATGAACTCAGTGAAATGTTACTATGAATTGGAGTGTTTCACAACTTCACGTCGTCTTCGATTCCTAATCCTATCACAGTATTCAGGAGAGGAAACCGCTCTTATTTTTGTAGTCTAGGATTATCTTAAGAGATGCAGCACTGAGTAGGAGTTAGGAATTGAACTCAGTGTTGCACAAACTTACTACCAAGAGAAAGTTTGTAAGCACTTATATTTTGACTCAGATCCTTATTTTTTGGAAAGTTGAAACCATATAGCACTAGCCCAAGGTTGAGATCAGGTTAGCATTATTAGATTGGTGTTCGGCATGTAAATACTAGTGGTACGATATTGGTATGCGTTCTTAGGTATATGGGGCCATTGCCTGTAAGCTTGGTAGATATGGACCTTTTCCGGGAATTGATTTCAATGGTGTTTGATCCTATTGAAGGATCATTTGCATTTTGCAGTCTAGAAAACCAGGGGAGCTTGACATTGGGTTTCTGGTGGTCTGTCCTCTGTGATTAAGGCAATTCTATCCTGGTGTGGGGTATTTGATTGATGACAACCTAAATAGGTTCGAGATGTAACAGAGTGCTTGTCTGTCCTTTTGTCTTTGTAGTTGAGAGAATATGTTATTGCTTTAACAATGAGAATATTTTACTGATTTCTAACAGGAAAAAGGCAGGCCACTCCCAAAATTTGGTGAATGGGACGTCAATGATCCTGCTTCGGCCGAGGGGTTTACTGTGATCTTTAACAAGGCTAGGGATGAGAAGAAGACAGGTGGAAAACCCGAGTCACCAGGAAAGGCTGATCCTAATATCAGGCAGGGAGGAGGAGTGGATTCTGGCACTGGCAGGCCTTCATCTGTAAGATTCTTTCTCATAACTGTTGACTCGTTTCTTTCTCTGGTGATTTGATATATAATGAGTTAGCCAATAGCAGTTCATTCTTTTGCCTACTAGATGGCGGTTTTCTTAGTAGTAAGTTTTTGCTTTCCAAGTGATGGTAGTACAATATACAACTATATGTAACCATGCCTTACCTGTCAAACTTAGCATACCATTTGATGTTAAAATAAATGCAACCGACTTTTATAAAACTCTAGTTAGGAGAAGGGCGAAAAGGCTTTACATCTAATATTAGTACCAAGATATTTGAAAAGTAAAATAAAAGAAGATGATTTGGCTGTTTTATCTGCATTGTTTGATTGCTCCATGCGAGTGGAATTGGCATACGAAGTTACAAACACTCTGGTTGTCTTCTTTTAGACAGATGTAGTCTAATAGATACAGTTTGTTTCATTGTGAATAATTGAAATAACTAGTGGCCCTGAAAGTATTCTCTCTTCTTGTCAATGGATGATTGCGTGACCTTTTCGTTTCTATGTTTTTGAGTATCTGTTGTGTTTCCAGTCAGTAGAATAATAGAAAGAAACAATTGACCGGTGGGTCGTTGTTTATGCTGCTGAAAGTTGATCTAGTTTGCTTGATTTGATTTCTTGGTGCACAGAAAAAATGGTTTTGCTGCCTTCATCAACCACAGACCGAGTCTTGAGAATGTTGTTCTCTGCGCAAGTGCTCCGATGGAGGAGCACGGTGTTCTGGAACTCGCTCCACCATATTTTTCCAGAGAAGATAGGGAGCTGTATAGCAATGATGGATGGAATTACCGTGTCGCGTAAAAAAACAAAAAACAAAACAAAAAAACTTTGTGATGGGAGGAGTAAAGAATGACAAATACTTATTGTATCTATATTGTCCGTCTGATCTGTTTCTTCGTCTTGTCTTTGCTTCAAGCTTTAGAGCTTTGCTTATGACATTCTTTTCCTTCTTCCCTAATTGTATTATCAAACCACTCTTTGTGTGAAATTATATTGTTCTCGATTTCAAATTCCGAAAACCTTTATCTTCTTTTCCATGACGTTCGTTTCTAGTTTTGGTAAATAACTTGTACTTTTCGATAAAAAAAAAAAAAGAAAGACAAAGGGAAATGATTTCTTACTAGATTTGAATGGATGAGCAATACTGGAGGAGTTATTACGCTTTACCTGCAAATCACAGTTTAACGCGTGCCCAAAAACTCATGTTCTCAAAATGAGTTATTTCTGTATGTTTTAAACTGTGATTTATAGGCAAGAGAGGAATGACTCTGTAGGTAAAGAGCCAAATGTGTACGTTAATATATCAACCAAAATTATCGATCGATTGCCATTGCATATGAACGTGTATTCTTCACAAGCCACAAGAACCACCAGGGACAAACGCACATAATTTCCGGTTACTGGTGTTCAACGATTCGCCGAGAAAGTAAAAAAAATGTATGCATGGAGTAACAATTGAAATGTCAAATTCTTCTACTGTGATAAAATGTCGTGGCTGTGTCAAGGTTAGACTCTAGTCATCCCAAGCTTCCGTTCAAAAAGGCGGCGAAGTAGGAAAACTTGGAGAAGACTGGCACCAACAAGCGCTGCTGATTCGAAAAAAACCTTATGGATTGCCCTCCGGCCCATTGCTTCGTTTGCTGCATCAACGAATGCAAAAAGCAATTTATATCACGAAAAGATTGACAAAGACACTACACTTAGACGCTGCTAGCGAAACATAGTTGTTTATGCACAGTACGGAATCAGTACCTGTTCAATTGAGAAAGAGTAAATGCGAAAAGAATAGTCGTAGAGATACCTGATTTGGATATAATCCTCAACATAGCCAATAAAAAGGCGAACCCAAACCAACAAGGTTCCTGGCTCTACGAGGCTCACCCTCAAGGTAATCAATCATCAAGGTATTTAGAGTTGAGAAAATACCTATTGCCTGTCGTTCGGTCTGAGCCTCTAGCCAATGCTGCTCAAATTGAATGTTGTAAAGAGCCTCCTCTAACTTTGATACCTGTTCTAACAACGGATTGAAGTGCTCTGCACGTACGCACAAAACTACCATAAGTTGTCGTCCTTATTTTTACAAGGATCTTGCTAGTGAAAATGTAACCAAAGAAATCTAAAGAGTAAAATGTCACGTATCAATCACTCACCATCTTTTGCGTGTTGATCATAGTACGTAAAATGGCTAACATGTAAATCGAAATCTATGGTTTCATGATAAGGAGATTTGTTAGTGAAGCAAAACTGATAGACTCCTTTGTGATGAGCGACAAAGTCATACTTCTCGGTAGTCTTGTCACGAAAATCATGAACCTTGTCACCGGAAGGCCCCTTCACCTGAAAAATTTCAACGGCATTGTATGGTCACTATGATCCATCATCCATATACATACACGAACACATGGTTTCTGTTACCTATGTATGCTATGAGCTATCTTATCAATTTGGCCAATAAATGCAGAAGATTATAGCGCAGTTAAAAACATATATTGGAAATTATCAACCCGAATCAGACAACAAACAAGGAGCTTACCATGAGATCAACACCGTCTTGAGTATAATGCCACGATGCATCAACCTTAATAACAACGAAAGAAATGTGGACGGTATCTCCTTCGTATTGAACATTATGAGAGAAGCACTCTTCTCTGTCAATCACAAATCTGATTCCAAAAGCTGCTTCTAGGCTCAACAAAAATGTCAGCAGAAAAACAGCAGCACAATTCGAAAACCCAACTTTCATCTGCAGATTTAATAAAAGGTTGTCAAAATCTTTAAAAATATAAAATAAAACTACAAAAAATTCTAGCTCACACAAATAATTACATACAAAATAGGAAACTTTCTGGTTTCCTTCTCTTATAACTGGAAAATAAATACCACCCCGAAACTATTTTCCACCAGAAGAAATAGAGAAAAATTAAGAATTCTAGTACCCATTACAAACACCGTTTGTGTAAGTTTATCTTACGCTGCTGGTCCCGAGCGCGGATAAAGGGGAGGGCATCAAGTAATCGACAACCGGCATTCCATCCCTATGAATATCCATTACAACTCTTCCGCAAAGTAATTATAATCTAATTTTAAAACCAAAGAATCCACTTTTTAAGAGATTGGCCGGAAACAGATTAAAGATTAAAACATGCGATACAATCAAAGGGTGCAATCACAACAAATAGATTCCATTCCATGTCCTGTTTGGCTGCCTAGAAAGTGAAAGAAAATTTAGAAACACCCTCAATTAACGTAAAAACATAAGTTCTAAAATCTACGTCTATGTTCTTTTCTTTTGCATCAAAACAGAGTTACGTAGGATCGAACAAAACGAGATTAATTGTTGGAAACTATGAAATTTGTAGAAAGAGATAGGATTTACCTTGGAATGTTTGAACTTTTTGATAAAGCCCACAGAGGAAAAAACTTATGTTTGAACGATTTGTCGGAGATAAACAGTTGGGAGGATGAAAGAGTTTTGTGTTTATTTATGTTTCATATCTCGAAGGGGAATACTTCGAACGTAACGAGACTGCTAGAACACCAAAAGCTTCAGTTTAGTACTTTTTGTCGTTTTATATCCGACATGTCGTTCTCCTTCCGTCTTAAATTTTTGTCTGGGAAAATTACATTTTATAACCTTAAGGTATTTGTAATCTCATACAATATTTTAAAAATATTTTTATTTTATACCGCGCGTAATATTTTATTTTAATTTCATACATCTATTAATTATTTTAGTAAGTTGATTGTTAACTAATAACGTTGCAATCAAAGTTGTCCACATAGATTAAAAAATAAATAAATCAATCAATTTAAAAAGAAAATAATTTTATGCCAAGCCCACCCTTCCATCTGCATCTCTGTTCGACTCCGTTCCTCATGCGTCCTCACCCATCCCATCTCATCACTTAACGGTTAAATTAACGATTTGATTAACGGACGCATAAAATTGTAACTAAATATAAATTTAAGTATGAAATTGAAATGTTTTAAAGATGTTATATGAAGTTGCAATTGTACTCAAACTTTAAAAGGTAAAATGTAATTTACTCTTTTTATTTTTATTGTTTTTTCCAAAAGCCGCTATGGCTTGGATGTTTGTAATAATAATTTTTTATGATGCTCCGAAGCATCGGGTAATTCATAATTCAAAACTATTAGATAGTTGATAAACACATAATTAAAAACAACAATTTGACAATTAAAAATTCAGAATACAGAATACTCTAAACCAGAGAATTGTTGTCATAATAGAATGGATTCGTGAATTTGTTTCTAATTTTTACCAGTAAATAAACATTTATGAAAGAAAAGAAGGGCTTAAACTACACAAGATAGAATAGAATAAGGAGAACACAATTATTAAACTACACAGTATAGTATATAACAAGGGATCTATGTGGTATATATAGTAGTAATAAAAAGTGGTGTTGTGTGTTATTCCTCTAACAAATTCATGTTCTAAATGAACCACTCCATCTGTTTAGGTTCCGGTTTTCCAATACAATTATGTATGTTTTAAATATATGTAACACTTATTTATGTATTATATAATAAATTTAATTAAAATAAAAAAATCGTCTAAGGGACCTAGCTAAGTCCTTAAGTCATCCCTCAACCGAAGGAGTAGTCCTACAAAAAATTATAGTTTAATGAACAGTGTCAGGTCATATTTTATACCATTTTCAACCAAGAGGGACATAGGCCAAACATAATTAATATATATTTTATTATTTTAATTGAATTAATATGGTTAATTAAATTAAACTACCATGTTAAATTAAGGTTTTCAGACATATTTTGAGTGTCATTTGTCACTAAATGAACAAGCTTTTGGATTTCTTATCTTTATCTAATCTCAATAATTTTTCGGATAAGATTTCGAGTGATAAGTGTCGCTAACGTGAGTAACTCTCCAAATTTGAAATAAAATGAGGTAAGATAGTATGGAATGGTGAAAAGTATGTGAGGAATGGTGCAGGAATGGCTTAGGTATTTATAGGGAAAAAGTTAGAAATTTTTTTTTATAAAAAAAATTCGTCCAAAAAAAAAAAAAAATCAAATTCCAATGGTAACCTCACGTCAGCTAGCCATTTTTAGCTAGCGTCATGCTGATGTCGGGTAGTTGTTGGATTGCAAGTGGGCTGGGCTGGAGGGCTGGTTGGTTGGCTGGAAATGGCCAACCGACTGGCCTGATTTGGTGGTTTTGGCCCGGTGGGGTCCACAAGCCCTTTGGCCTAGCCCTCGGTTGGAGACAGTTTTCGTATCATTTCAAGCTATTTTTAACCCTATGGTCCTTTGACCAAGTCAGTTGGAAATGGCCTTACCCACCGCCTAGTGATTTTTTCTTTTAATATTGAAAATAAATAAAGAAAATACAATATTGGGGTACTTACTAGCTAGCTGAAGTTCTTTAGTATTATTACTAGCTAATTAAAATTTTCCAATACCAAAGTCGAAAGAAGGTAAACGCTCAGTATTTTCGATGATATATTTGAATGTATTGGGTTTCCTTCTTGGTACGTATGGTAGTTGTACATCTTTGCTTGATAACATTTAATTGCACCTTCCATACATATCATACTTGCAAATAATGTATGTTTATCGCATAACTTAATAACAATGTCACATGCATCACAACTTTAAACCATAAATTTATTTTTATCACAATGTTTCGATGCTATATATCGAATTTTACCTCTATCTCATCTGTTTTTTTATACAATATTTACAATGAAGAAATAAATTGGTATCGAACTTGTTATTCTCTAGATTTAAACATAAAATCTTTCACTTATAAGTAAAAAAGAATAGGCCAAATTGGTTAAATTGTCCCGTGATAGGATTTTAGAAGATAGGCTCCGTGGTTTAAAAAAAGAAAAAGAAAAAAAAGGGGATTCGAACACTCGTGCGATGAAGATCGTTAATCCAAAAATGAAATTTCCATCAAATCTCTATTAGATGCAGGGATAAAAATGTCCATCACCACACTTTTTTCTGTTTACCTTATTCTTTCTTCATCTATCTCCTCTCTGTAATTGTATTCTCCCTTCATGGCCCCCAAAAGAGGAGTAACAGCTCCGGTTGCAGCTTCCAAGAAGAAGACGTACAAGGTTGTGAACCTGCTGTTCCAAGAAGAAGACGGACAAGGTCTTGTTGGCAATCAACGCCAACGTCAATGACAAGTATGATGTATGAAGAGTACAGGAAAATGTGGGGAGGCGGCATCATGGGTTCCAAATCCCAGGCAAAAACTAAGGCGAAGGAGAAGCTCCTTGCGAAAGAAGCTGCTCAAAGGCTGAATTAAATCTGGTTGTTTTTGGATTTCATTTTACTTAGGAAAAATTGTCGTGTCAGCTTCTGGATTTGTAAATGTTGAAGTTTATTTAGATCCACGGAGGTTTTTCATTTCCTCTAAATGCTGCGATGTTGTTTAGCTATTTTGATTGGACTTAACGGACATGCCGATTTTGAGACGGTTTTTTGGGTATTTAAAAAAATAAAAATAAAAAGAGGTCGACATGTTTGTCCTTGCATCTAACTGAATTCAATGCAGATGATTTACCGACTAACGTCTTAACATCTAGCTATTGTACTTGAATATAGATAACATCTATGTACATACAATGCCAGATTATTTAAAACCTCCTCGCATGTTGCACCTGACAAGCAACATGGTGGCACAATTTGTAAATGGTTGAAACATTGTGGGTGATTTTCATCCTTCGATGGCTTCATATTTATAAACTGTGATGCGGCAACGGTTTCATAATTTACTACGATTGGTTTAAGTGATAGATATCCCTTAATTTTCCAACCACAAATATATAGAGAGCTGAGAGAGCTTAGGGAGCTAGCTGTAGCTAGTAAGCTGAGAAATGGAGAAGGAACCATTGTTTGAGACGAAGAGAGCCAAGGGAAGAGTTCTATATAGGGTTTTTGCAGCATCTATATTTGCAGGAATATGTTTAGTTTGGGTTTACAGAGCGAGTCACATACCAAAAGCAGGAGAAGACGGAAGGTTTGGTTGGATTGGACTTTTGGGTGCTGAGATATGGTTTGGATTTTACTGGCTCCTCACTCAGGCCTCCCGGTGGAACCCTGTCTATAGGCACACCTTCAAAGATAGGCTTTCTCAAAGGTAAATCAATTACCTCATGTTAGTTTGTTCATTATCATTTTTATTCAACAACTATAGTTCATAAGATTTGAATTGATGACGTATTGGACTTACATGAACAGATATGAAAATGAGTTGCCGGGAGTGGATGTATTTGTGTGCACAGCGGACGCAACCATAGAGCCACCGTTGATGGTGATAAACACGGTTTTATCAGTGATGGCTTATGATTACCCGCCGGAGAAGCTGAGCATCTATTTGTCCGATGACGGCGGGTCGGCAATTACATACTATGCTCTCTTGGAGGCTGCTGAGTTTGCGAAGCAGTGGATACCATATTGCAAGAGGTACAAAGTGGAGCCAAGGTCACCTGCTGCTTATTTTGTCTCAATATCTGCTGATGCAATTGTTGATCATCAGGCTAAAGATTTCTGGGCAATTAAGGTATTTTCAGTTCTTTTTTGTGGTCAGGTCCGGAATTAGATCCTCTCAGATTCTTCTCACTAGGGATATCACTTCATACCAACAATTCATCAAAGATCGTGAGGTCACAATACTTTTTATATTTTCAAAGATAAAGCAATCTCGTTTTGTATGAAAAATATATATAAAAAAAAAAAAACTGTGGCTGCACAATCTTTGATAAAAAATTGTTATTAATTGATTCCCGATAACCCTAGGGATCCAAAGAGAATCTAATTCAGCCAGGTCCAAGCCATAAGATACGACATACAAGTGGTCAACAATAGCTACATTTTGGTCTTTGTTGGGAAGGCAAAGGACCACAAAAGCCCATAATTTCGTTAATTATAGTATATGAATGCCGTCATGGAGGAGTGAGGATCCTCGCAGGATTCTTTTAATCACATTCGTTCATCGTATATTGTGTGGTGAATTTTTTTAAGTACTGTTTATATTCAATTTTAAATAAAAAAAACTTACAATGATTTTTAACCGCACGATATACGATGAACAAATGTGATTAGATGATCCTTTGAATCCTCACAAAGAGGATTCGCGCGAGGATCATCCTTGGCCATGGAGGACGCATTTTCAATTGCTTGTTTGAAAAGAATTTTAAAATAATTAAAAGCATTTTTGAAAAATTAATTTTTGGTTTCAAGAACTTAGTGCAGAAAACATTTAAGGTACTTTTTCAAGATCTACTTAAATTTTTACTAAAAATTAATTTTAAAAACATTTTTACTAAAATCGTTTTCTATTATTTAAAAAGTATTTATAAGCGTGTACGCATATAATGAGTTTTGTATTAAATCCCATTCTTCTAAATTCATTTACTATTTATTTATCTTTTTTTTTAAAAAAATCTTTTTATTGCATAAAATGAGCACAAAGGACACGTTAACTTAGATTCTCTTTGGATTTTATCTATGGTGCACAG